TTTTTCACAAATTTCTCCCTTATCATCCTCGTATAGAGTGGAACGGGATTGAGAAAAATAGTTCAATTCACTCTCTGTCTATTTGGATTTTTAAGTACCAACTACCAACCTCAAAATTACAGTTAGAAGTGAACCCCCAAAAAAAAAATTAGTTTTTAGTTTATTGTGTCTTTAAATAAATTAAAATTTTTTTAGATTAATCTTCTATATACTGATAGTATATACACTTTCACCATCAAGTACACAATAATTCTAACCATGATAATGTATGCACCGTGAATGTATAAAAGATTTACTCAATTTATTTTATAATCAAAGGTATTTTTGAACAAGCTCAAAGTCCACCTGGATTTTTCTTTTTTATCTTGTAAAGTAAGGAACTTTTTACCTTCTTATTAGATCAAAAAATTTACTCTTTCTTGTTAGAAATGTACGATTAGTTATGATTAGTTTGAAAATAGAAATAATAATTTAAGCAACCTTTCTTGTAAGTTACACTCATAATCAAGTGCTATTTTCTATGCTTTGGTAACTACGAAAGAGCACATACAACACGCTAGATAATCGAGTTTAACTTTGAGTGTTTATAAATAAAATAAAATAAAATTTGTTACTCAAAAAGAAAAATATTATAAGGTTAAGGGGACAAAGTGATGCGTGCAAGAAACTAGGGGGTGTAAAGTGAAAACTAAGCAAAATCGATAAAAAAAAAATTATTAGAATTTAAACTACAAATAATGTATTATAAATTAGCACTTTTGATTTACTAATAATCCTAGTTGTTCTTTTTTTAAAATAAAAATAAAAATACTCCTAGTTGTTAGTTGTTACTCCGTCCACCGTTGGGCATATCTGGACATAAGAGAAAATTGTGTAGAAAAACTCTCTATCAATCAATTGGTGTGAAACTCGTTCTAAAGATGAAACACCAAAAATTTACCTGCAAGAAGCAATTAAAAATTACAAGTTTAAGCGATAAATATAAATATAAAAATTTATAAAGTAAAAAAAAATTATAGAGTAACATTTTTCGACTTTATATTACCGTCACGCAGCTGAGTTATCTTTCACTTTATTTTAATAGAGTAGCATTTTCCAATTTTATATATATTACAATTATCGGAATATATGTAGTGTTGACTGATGACCCAGTCGCCTGTCGCATAGGGGCAAACAGTTCGCAGAACAACCTCGAACCCAGTAAGCCTGGCGGAGCCTCAGAGAATAAATCAATGAAGAAAGTCTGCGGAGCCTGCCTCCGGAAGACCGAGAAAATTTTCTACTCTCACATGCTTTGCATTTGACTCTCTTCATTTGCAAGCCAAAAAATATGTACTGTATAAAAAAAAGGGATGATGCATGTCACATTCACATGGTAGACGCGGTTCCAATTGGATTGTTGAACTTGGCTGCAAATTGGTTTAAATCCATTTTTCTGTCATGCTACTTATGCAAAAGATAAAATAAGTGGATTTAGCACATATTCTCAATTAATTTTAAGGAAAAACCATTCAAAACATTATTTACAATTTACAAAATGACTTTTTTCGCTCTTCATTTTTTAATGTGTAATTTTACGTCTCTTACAAATTGACATTGATCAAATTTGGTTCCTACCTAGATTTTTGACAAGAATAAAATTGTCAAATCAAATTTTACATAATCCGATTCATGGTCCCTCACATTTCACAAAATGATTTTTTTCATCCCTAATATTTTACGAAATAAATTGTTTCATCTATCAAATTTTACAAAATGAATTTTTTTATCCCTCATATTTTTTAAAATAAATTTTTTATCCCGTATTGATCATGTGCACCAATAATCTATTTTTCCTTTTAAACCCATGTATACATATATTTGATTTCAGTTAAATAGTACGAATGACATATAATATATCTCTATTTGATTTCACCTAAATAGGCTAATCGTAGTTATACATATGCTATTCAATAGATGGAATTTAAAACTAATAATTTTGTTCTAAACTCATGTAAATATCTATATGATTTCACAATGTGAACCTATTCAATATTTGTGACTATCTCTTTTGATAATAATTTATTTATTAAGTTGTATAATAATACCATCTAATTAATGGATCCTAATTCGAATTCTATAGTCATGCTAACAAATTGCAATTTGAAACTAAAATTTCTACTCGTCACTTTTAAAATCAAGAGTTGAATTATTTGCCTTGTAATTGTCTTTAATTTGAAAGCGGCAATCACTTATTTCTTTTTATCATATTTTTCTTTGTTTATTTTTTCTATCCAAATTTAATTTGATATAAACATTCGGTAATATTTATGATTAAATGTCTTATTTGTTTTTAATTATCGAGTAAAATAAAATAAATATAAGTGAATAACTAAACATTTTTTAAAATTCATGTATATATCTATTTGATTTCACTTGAGTAGTACGGATAGCATGTAATACATCTCTATTTGATTTCACCTGAAATTAAATAGATATATACATGAGTTTAAAAAAAAATTATTCGCACACATGATCAATGAGGGATGAAAAAATCTATTTTGAAAATGTGAATGATGAAAAATTTTATTTTATAAAATGTGAGGGATAAAAAATTTCATTTTGTGAAATGTGAGGAATCATAAATTGGATTATGTAAATTTTAATTTAACAATTTTGCTCTAAAAAAATAATTACGTGCAAGACACGTAGTGAATTCCAACAGAAAACTAGTCGGAAATCTAGGCAGAGACTAAATTTGACCAATATGAATTTGTAAGGGATGTATAATTACTTTTAAAAGTAAGGGATGAAAAAAGTTATTTTACAGGATGTGAGGGACGTTTTTAACGATTTTCCTAATTTTAAATACTTCATTTTATCTTCTTAATTTCTCAATTTCCAACACATCTTCTCATTTTATCTTCTCAATTTCCTACAGGATCGATTGGATTGTGGTTTATTTGCCAAAATATATTTGCTTACATTATCATTACAATTTCCAACACACCTTTTTATCTTCTTAATTATCTTTTTATCTCGCATACATCACATCACAAAAAGTACTACAGTAAAAATATCTCCAATAATTCACAATCCAAACAAATTATTTTGTTGCAGTTTCAACTGATTTTGAAAACATGGCTATAGATTTTTTAGATTTAAGAAAGCTAAAACTTACAAGCATGTCTTAAGTTACTTTTAGATTCTGCTTTTAGCCTACCTTTTTATGCAAACGAAAATATTCTTTAATTTTAACATAGTTACTAAACTACCTTAAGGTTATGCACTTTTTTTTTTTTAATCATATGCCGGTCCCCATTTTCTTGTATTCGCAACCCCATCTCTAGATTCATCTTTGTCTCCTTCTTCTTTTTCTTATCCAACATTAATCTTCATAAAAATAATTAATTATATAAAAAAATATTTAATCAGCACAAAAGTCACTTATGTAGTACATGAGGGCAATTTAGTATTTTTCTTATCAAAATTAGCTTTTCAACTTTTTTTAAGAACACCAATACAACTATTAAATTAGCCTTTTTAATTATAAATAAGAACGCATGAGTTACTTTGAATAATCTAATTTTTAAAAATCAAATCTACAAAATCAATTTTACAGAATTAAAATCAATTGTCAAAATTTGAAAATTTGACCTGAAGAGTAGTCACTAGTGATCATTCTTTATCTGTCCAAAAATCTTATCCAAACACGAACATGTTACTGCATAAAAAGGAATATTCAACCTTAATCTGCTACACATGAAATATTCAAAATTTACAATTGTTTGATCTAGAAGTTGACAAAAGGAAATTCAGTCTTGAATTGAGAATTGAGGTCAAGGCTTCTTACCATTTCAAATTTCAAGTACAATCGAGAATTTTATTTGATGACATAAGGACAGCTACGCAACCTTGGGTCCTATTAGTCAGAGACCAAGTCACGACCTGATATACTTCAGTCGTTAGCAGATGGGTTAATCACGTTTAATCCCCTTAATGTATACTCCATTTCTCAGTTTACCCCCTAATCTTTAATTTTGCTCACTTAACCCCCTATAGGACAATATTGCCCTTGCATTATTTTGACTTTTTATATACCTTGTTTTTCTTTCTTTTATTTCTTTTTCTCTTTCTTCTTTATTTAAATCTTTCTCTTTCCCAGAAAAATCTTCACCTTAATGATTAAAATTAAAAAAGAGGAATTGCAGAGATCTATCTTCTTCTTAAATGATTAAAAAAAATATTCAAATCACTTTCCTAAAATACAATTTTTTTAGTCTTTCAATTCTTTTAATTTTGGATTTTCCTCTTTCCTTTCTAGTTTCTCATTTTATTCTCAAGAAAATATCTTAAGATGAAATTGATTTCCTTTCTTTTATTTCTTTTTCTCTTTCTTCTCTCTTTCATCCTTCCCAATAGAAAATTCCATTTCAACGGAAATTTATGTTTTAAGTGTGTAATTGCATATTTTTGGGTGAAAGTTTAAAATGTATCAAAAACTAATTTTGATTTTTTGTATGATGCCATGTGTCACAAATTTCAATTGATGATTATTAATCAGGTCACAATTTCATCTTAAGATATTTTCTTGGGAATAAAATGAGAAACTAGAAAGGAAAGAGGAAAACCCAAAATTAAAAGAATTGAAAGGCTAAAAAAATTTTATTTTAGGAAAGTGATTTGGATATTTTTTTAATCATTCAAGGAGAAGATAGATCTCTGCAATTCCTCTTTTTTAATTTCAATCATTAAGGTGAAGATTTTTCTGGGAAAGCGGAAGAATTAAATAAAGAAGAAAGAGAAATAGAAATAAAAGAAAGGAAAACAAGGTAAATGAAAAGTCAAAATAATGCAAGGGCAATTTTGTCCTATAGGGGGTTAAGTGAGCAAAATTAAAGGTTAGAGGGTAAACTGAAAAATGGGGTATACTTTAAGGGGATTAAATGTGATTAACCCTTAGCAGATCTACAAGCAACAATATGTTACTATCGTTTGACGATCATTAATTGATGGATTCTGAGTTTTAATGCGCCCGTGTGGCGAATAAGTACTCATTCTTCCAAGTCGCACAAAAGCAGTCCGCCAATGAAAGCTGCCGCCAACAGACTGGGTCTCATGGACACAGTCCACCTTATCAACATCGAAGAAGCCCACTAATCTAGCACATCATCAAGCACACCAATCTAGAAAGTGTCCATCTTATCAACATAGAAGCCCAATAATCTAGCACATCATCAGGCACTCCTATCTAGAAAGTTTCATTCCTATGCTTGACACATTAGCCAAACTTGACATGCCTCCAAATGCACTAGGACTTTAAACAGACAAATGTTGCATGTAGAGATGCAAAAATTTTCATTGGTTGTCGGGCTAATCAGGGGATTAACACCATACAATTAGAACATATCAGTCGTTTTTTCAATTTTCTTCCAACTGTCTCAACAACCATTCTTCGTAGATGAACTAAAAGCGTCTGCAATTGCTATCTAGCTGAAATATTACACGAGCAATTCACCAGCACTGAACATCCAAGTAGGAACCCACCAATGCATACATCCAGAATAAAATTGAGCATTCTGACTCATCTGTGTGTGTGTTCATTGAGCATTCTAAGCCAAAGTCAACACAGCAAGCCTGGGGATTTCATGCTTTGCCTACTGTGCACTCTCCGAGTCTTGCATCTTTGAAGCCATAATCTTACACACAGGCATCGCCTCATTCTTACTCAGAAGCTTCAAGGTTGGATGAACATCAATCTCATGCATCAGTATTTTATCTTCAATATCTAGTTTACTTACATCCACCTCTATCTTTGGAGGGATGTGCTCAGCTGGACATAAATATCTTAGACTCCTCCTCACAATATGTAGATAACCTCCTGCTTTTACAGAGAAAAGAAAGAGCAGAAATTCACTTAAGTGTCACGATTATCTTACAGGAGTTAATGACGTGCAAGAAAGTTTAACAATCATTTGCAAGAAAGAGTAGAACTACAAATTTTCGACATTCAAAACCAGATGAAAGAGATAGGTGCCAAATTCCACGAGCATCAAAATTTTGGTCCCCATATCAATTTCTAAAACAGAAAGACAGTAACAACTAAACAAATTGGTCAAGAAATATTTGCCTTTCCCATTTCTGGATATTTCAAAGTAATGATGCTGGAATTTATCAAGTTGAAAAATGGTCAAAACAATAGGCACATACAATGAAGTCCATTCTTTCAAAGCATCGACAAGACAAATTCTATATGTTTAATATGACAAGATAAAGACCAAAACATTTCTTCATCTAAATTCTAACGCATTTGATTTCGACTGGGTCGGCAAAAACCTACACCATTAATCTCAATGGCGAGTGGATTTGCCATAAAGAAGCAGAAATCTAACAAATAGTAGTGAAAATCAAGTCAAAACATAACAACAGAAAACATACCATATTCTAGATATACAATCACCAAGATATCTCAGAAGAAGCAAAAGAATTGGAGTAAAATAGTAGGACCAAGTACAACCATTAGTAGCACCTATTTATCAGGGACCCTGGTCATACATGGTGATTCTAGAAGACGCACAAATATCAACTTACATTCTGACAGACATAAACAAAATTAAATGATGAGTGATGATATTACACCAAATGCTCCTTTTATACTTTTCCTGAAAGGATTAAGCGGGGTTTGATGCAATAGCACAACCTCAGAGGAAAGGCACCTAAGAATAGTCGATAATGGACAACCATATCTTTTGAGCCCATGAAGTAATGCCTAGTCCTAGCTATGGCATGCATCTCATTTAGAATAGAAACTAAAAAGTTTAAACCATTCCTCAATAAGATAACTTAGTTTAGCTTCACAGCAATCACCCTTGTTTACTTCCTCCAGTTTCTATACACTCCTCCTGCAAACAAACCCCATTGGGAGAATTAGCATAAGCCAACCAATAGAAAAGTGACTTCTCCTCTATGTTCACCTTAAGCTCCTATCAAATCATTAAGCTGGCCAATCTGTAAGTCCTCATCTTCGAAATCGATAAACAGATTTGAAAACAGTTCAATTGATTAAAATACAGAAGCCATATTGAGATGGAAATAGTTGGACAGAAAAAGAAGAGCAAGCTGCTAAACATATCAGCTCTTTGTGAGTTTCAGTTCAAAAGCAAAAAAAGAATAATTAGAAAGTTTAATAGTCTGAAAAAGAACTCCCTCCAATGGAGGAGAAATGGGTAGAAACAGATAAAAATGGTACTAAATTCTGTCAAATGATAGAGAACAATCTCTCAAAACCTAATTTGTCCATAGCTATTTGTTTTCTTTCCAAAACTCGCAAAAGCCTAAAGAAAGCTTTCAAGTTATCTCTTCTCTTCTCTTCTCTTCTTCACGAACTAAGCCTAAAAGATTTCACAATTTATAGCTCACCCATCCTCAAATTACAGAAAAATTTCAGCCAAGTGTACCATTAAGAAGGAAAAGAAAAGGATAAACTCATAAAAGGTAAAAGCAACAAAATAACGATTAGTTTTTACATTTGCACTACAAATTTTTGGGCGTCACCAATCGAAGCTGCCATGAGCCATCAATCAGCTAATGCGCAACTAAATCACCTTGACACTAATCGTTTCACAAATGCTCAATAATCCTCTCTTTTCCGTTTCTAACTAAAATCCTCCCATAAATAGCAAATTCTCAACATGTTAAATGTGAAAATTGGAAAAAAAATATAGAGAAAGAAATGTGAAAAAAAATAACAGAATGCGTAGCAAAGAAAAATGGACCTTTTTGAATCCCGGGACAAACATCTTCCCCTTTAAAGACGAGGGGCACATCCACCTTTATTTCCTTTCCATCCTCGGCCCATGCAAACACCAAGTTCATTATCTCCCCTGTCTCTTCATTTCTATGAATCTATAATCAAATATTCAACGAATTAGGACAATGTCCATTTTTGCAATACAACACAATTATAAGCATGTCCTACCACCTGCACTCTGAGCTACTACTAAAGTCTACTACTACCACTTAAAACACTGATCGGCGGCCTGACCAATCATTTGTCCGCCAAGTTGAATTAAAAAAAATGGGGATTCCTGAGTGACGCAGCGTATACTTGCCTTGATGGGAAGCACTCTGCCGGACTCAATCAAAGTAGAAGAACCCGACCCGGCCCGGATTTGGAGCGGAAATGTGGTTGAATAAAAGAAAGGGAGCTGAACAGAGTTAAGAATAGCTTTAATCTGCTTCTTCTCGGTGGTGAGGAGGCGTTTTCTGGAGACGGATGACGAAGGAGAAATGGACGTGGGGTCGCCCGGCTTTGTTTGAGAGAATACGACGGCCGGGATGCGGCCTTGGGCCCTGTCTCTGGCGGAGCCTCTGCTTCCTGTGACCTCTCTTGGAATGGCTTGGATGGTATGGTAAGATCGGAGTTTGGGAGTCTCCGCCGCTCTTTTGAGGCTTCCGGCAGCCGCGCGCCACCACGTGGACATTGTATTGTGGAAACGCTGAAAGATTCAGTAATGACTCGAGTCGAATGTAGGGTTGATTGTCTTCAAGGGGTTTAAGCCTTTGGGCTGAACTTGTAAATGTATGGGCTTAAATGTGGCTCGGTAAACCAACTGGACCGTAAATATTAAGGGGCTTTTGGGTGTCTAAATGAATCGGAAATGCATGGTGGTGGGATCGTAAAGTGCAGTAATTCTAATTTTTGAACTCTTATCCGACTTGATATACAAGGCCTGTTGTATACTAGTAGTAATAACTTACAGTAATGATTCTGTCATAGACGAGCAGGCAAAATTGGTATTTGTCGGATCAAACTCGAGTAACTTGGTACTCTCAGATGGAAAATATGAAACCCCTCATTGTTGTGAATCTAACTTTGGAAGGTGAAAGAACATGAAATTGTAATTATACCTTGTTTAATTCGTTGACAAAGTGATTTGAATAGGATGTGGTCAAGTCAACCTTAAATCAATCATTCAATGGGTAAGAATAACATTGCGTTTTAATAGCACTGGTGTCTATTTGATAGCATAAAAAAATGCTGAAATTGAATTCATTCAAACATTTAGATGTTTTGGATATTTGATAAATAAAAATTTTTCTGTTGAACTTATTAAGTGATGCTGAATTTGTATGTATTTTTTTCAACACAATAATCATAACTGAATGCTTAATTTGATAAGAATCAAGAGATTTACTTCAACTACTTTATCTTATCTACCAAATATATCTTTGTTTGTTAATTATATTCAAAATCCTTATCTAATTAAACAACCTGACATTCTCGATCCAAAATCCTTATCTAATTAAACAACCTGACATTCTCTGTCTTATGGCTTTCTACTTCTATTTTCTCCCTATTTAATGACTTTTTTACAATTTTTTCATGCTTCTCACATCTGTCAGCTCCTTATCTTTTTCCATCTTTCTACTCTTTCATAATTTTGTCATTTTTTCCCTCCCAAATTTTTTTATTGCTACCGTACTCACCGATCTCAAATTCATTATTTCCAATTGATTATTTGTTGTTTTGCGTCAACATTTTTCCATTGAAGTAATTAAATTTCTATATAATTTGGTGTGAATTTAAAACTTGTTTATTGCAGTTTTCTTTTGCTTATATTTTGACTTTTCTTATCAAACTCTAATTTAAAAATATATTTGCTCCGATATTTGGACTTTTCCATAATATATTTCTTCTTTTATAGTACTTTGATTTAAAAATAAATATTGTCATTTTCATACCTAATAATTTTAAGCTAATTAAATTATAGGTTCTATTTCATTTTTTGATTAAAAGAAGGGCAAAATTGTACAATTTAGCTTATTAAGCATTAAGTTATAAATAGTTATCAACAGTATAAATATGTTCAGTATTAAGATTCAGATATTCATATATCCCTTTTCAGTGCTTAATATTCAGCAAATTAATTATTTCAGTATTCAAAATTCAAAATTCAGATTCAGTTTTATCAAACGGAGCCTTAGACATATGTTGGGTGGAGAAACATTAAAATTGGGTCCTAATGGATCTCTTATCTTCTAACGCCGCTTCATTAATTCTTTTTTATCCCCTCCAGGGTCAGGGTCAGATTGAAAATTTTTGGGGGGAAAGAAACGGCAATGCAAGGGAGGCATCAACTAAAACACATCATTCATTCAAGAATTATTTTTATGTGCACTACTGCATGATCACTCTTTCAAGTTTGGACTACCTTTTTTTTTTATGTGTTTCTGAAAATTTTCACTGTACCAGTGTATATAAAATACTTTTTTTAAAAGATTTTTTTTGACTTGTTTTAATTTGTGTTACTGTAATATTGTATTTAAAAAATTTGTTTAAAAAAAAAGAAAAATTCAAACGGATATGAACAAGAAAATGCCACTACTAAGCTCTTTTTTTTTTTTTTCCAAATACTCAAAAATAAAAGAAACGAAAATGCTACTATCATAAAAAAAATTGCACAAAACTACTACTCACTATGGACCAATGAGAAAGCCACCACTTACCACGAATCCCAGAACAGTCACAGTCTCCTTATATTTAGGATGCATAAACACGTTGTTTTGACTTTTGGCATTAAATTTGTCATTACTTATAAGTAGAGGTGTCAAAATGGGTGACTTTGACGGGTTTGGGTTGGGTAAAATGGGTAATGGGTATAAGTGAGTCAATTTATTTATACCCATTTAATTAGATGGGTATAAATAGATAAGTCAAAAAATGAATTAGGTAATCCAATTACCCATTTATAACCCATCTATTTTAACTTTTTGTAAACTCATTTAAATTCATTTTTGCAAACTAAGTTATAAATTATTTATAAGTTATCAATTTATACCACTCTTTGTACTCATCATTAGTTTTAAATATTTATTTATAATGTTCAATAAACTTAATTACCAATTTTTTTTCATTTATACTCTATGTCATAAAATTACCTATTATTTAATAATTGAATAATAAGAATATAAAATTTTGAACTAAGTACTATAAAAATTAATAAAAAAACTTAATCCAAAAATTTTGAACCCCTAACATTTTTTTCATAAATAAATCTAAAATTTTATTTTAGAAAGATAATAAAATAGGCTAAAATTTATCATCAATTAGTAATGCTGAAAAATGAGCAAGTTAACAAACTAAGAGAAAATAAAATAATAAGATAAAACCAACAAATAATAATAATAATAATAATAATAATAATGAAACAAAGGTAGTTAATATAATGACAAAATGAAAATTTTGAAAAAAAAAATGGGTGGGGGAAAAGAAGAGATTTGGGAGGAAGAGAATTCTAAATGGGTTAATTGGGTTTTGATGGGTATTATTGGGTAATGGGTATTATTGGGTAACCCATTTATACCCATATACAAAAATTTAAGATATTCATACCCATCTATTTATGAGCGGGTATGAATAAATTTAATTAAGTGGGTTGATTTGCCACCTCTACTTATAAGAATGTGATATAGGATTGAGAATAATTTTGAGAATTATGTTCGTGAATCATTGGCATTAGGTGGTGTGGAAATTCTAATGACGAGCTTAATACTTAATAAAACAACCCCTTGCTGACTGAAATATTGCCAGACCAGGGAGTAACTGGAAATATCTTCCATTCATTCATTTATAGGTATGTGATACCGATACTAATTCCTCTGGCTGACTGGCAGTGCATGCACGAGCCAGCGCCTTCCAACTTTATATGAAAATTCCAGAATCCAATTTTCATGAAAAATAGCAGCTAGCATGAAAAATGCTGCAATTTTCATGGCTTGCTGTTTTTTGAGTTCTAAAGAGAAAAAAAAAAAAACCGAAAAGAAATACTAAAGGGTAATTTGAACACGTGACTAAGAGAAAAATGCAATTTGGTCGGGCCGGGGGAGTGGAAGGGTTAAAACACTGGCATATTCAATGAAATGCGAGAGGCCGTGCAGGAAGAAGCAATTGCCCACTAACACGGACACGGGCCTACCGCGCTCTGCCTCCGGGTCAGGGGCCAGGGACGGCAGTGGGGCAGTCGTCCGGATATCAGTACCTCACTATTCACTACATTTTGCCTGCGTCTCACCCGTCGCCCTCCCGCCATTGCTCCAAACCTCAGTTGTTCCTTTTTGTTCCCACACCCTGGGTCCCAAATTTAACTACAGCAGTTCTTCTTCTCGTAGCTAGCTCGGAGGTACGGATGTAATGTAAGTGGTGAGTCTACATTGATACATGGTTAAGAGAACAAATTTTTTGTATACACCCCTACGTTACGTTAAAAGTGTGTGTTTGGATTGTAATTTTTTTTAAAAAAAAAAATTGTTATATTTTTTATTAATATATTTTTCAATCACTTTTTAAATTCATAAATATTAAATCGTTATACTAATTTTTTTATAAAAAGTTCAGAAAAATATAATCTAAACAAAATTTTTCAAAAACATTCTCAATAATATTTAATCCATACGGAGTCAAAATATAAACACAACCATAGCAACTTTATGTACTACTTAAACTATATATATATAGAACGACGTTAATTATGGTTAAAAAAAAAAGTCATGAACTGTAGTTGCAATTGTGGAAGTTCTCATCCTTCTTCTCTTTCTCTCTGTTTCTTTTTTTTTTTTAATTTAATTTTTCTTTTGCTTTTTTTTCTTGCATCATATTGACTACGGGTATTGGCTCCTCCCTTTAACGACTGACTAATGTGCGAAAACTAAGGGCATTGCTATTTTGCCTATGAAATAAGTTTTAGTATTATTATTGGAGAATGTAATTTTGAGGAAAATGGCAAGTGAAATGGCGCAGAGGGATGAGCTATTGCAATCGTAATTCCGTAAAAGTGAAATTTAAGTAGTAGTAGTAGTAGCCAATATGGTAAAAATGTGGAAAGTCATAAATGGTATGGGGTTTTGGTGCGCAGCCTTTCAGTGGATGGTTTATGATACGTCACATTTGTCACTTCGATGGCATTTTGACAGCAAATCGGGTCAATTAATGTCAATGGGATTCATGTTTAGACCCCGGTGCCCTGAAAGCCCCAAAACCACCGCATGTGGTCTTCGAGCCTCCATGCACGGCGGCACAACTGGTTCGGGTTAGTGACACCGTGGCCCAAACCAGAAGGTCCCTGGCTAGTAACTTGTGCGGAATTGGACGGCTTAATAATGACCTTTTATCAAACCATTTTTATTTCATAATCATACAAGATCCCTGTAAATAACCAATTTCACTTTTTTTTTTATTTTTCAAAGTGTAATTGAGAGCGGTTCGAATCTGAAACCTCACACTCGATCACAATCTCTTCTCTTATACCGTCTAACCCATTCCATTTACACTAATTTTTTTTTTAATTTCACTTTTTTTCTTTTTTAGCCTCTTAACCCTCTACACCCTCTTTCTTATCTCTAGCTGTCAGATCCAAGATTGAATCTGACGGCGGGGAGTTTGAGTCCTCCTTGGCAACGAATCTCACTTTTTATGAAATGACCTAATCTAATGAGCCATAGATAGTTAATCTCCTATTGATATTGTTTACATTAGGGCTGCAAACGAGCCGAGCCGAGTCGAGTTTTGAGCTAATCGATCCGAGTCTCGACTAAATTTTACCAAGCTCGAGCTCGACGAGCCGGCAAATTTCGAGCTCGAGCTCGAGCTCGACTCGAATCAAGTCGAGCCGAGCTCGAGCTCGAAAAAAAAATAAAAAATAAATATTTTATTAAAAAATAAATAAATAAAATAATATTTTTTTCTTAATAAATAATAAAATATTAAGGACATATACGTAATTTTACTATGAAAATAAAAAATAAAAATATATATATAATATACGTAATTTTATTATTAAATAAAAATAAAAAAAAATATATATATATATACCCAAACTCGCGAGCCGAGTAGGGCTGCAAACGAATCGAGCCGCTCGCGAGCGGCTTGAGTCAAGCTCGAGTCGAGCTCGAGCTGGCTCGAGTCAAACTCGAGCTCGAGCTCGAGCTCAGATTATTAAACTCGTTAGCTCGCGAGCCGGCTCGCGAGCTAACGAGTTTAATAATCTGAGCTCGAGCTCGAGCTCGAGTTTGACTCGAGCCAGCTCGAGCTCGACTCGAGCCAGCTCGAGCTCGACTCGAGCTTGACTCAAGCCGCTCGCGAGCGGCTCGATTCGTTTGCAGCCCTACTTTACATGAACACTAGGCACTCTGAGATTTTTCTTTTATTTTCTTTCCTAACTTTTTTGTTTTTTTGGGAAAAAAAAAATAAGCGTTCATGGAAGACTAAGATCCTGGGTAAAATTGACTTTGCTACTCAAACAAAGTATAGTTACAAGTTGATGAGAATCATGGATAAATCACCAATGCAAGTATAAGAATAATAAAATCAAAATGGTGCATGCAGTAGGAGAATATTCTATCCTGAAATAAATTTATAGCAGGTTTAGAACTTTTCAAGCGTTGAATTGGTATTGCATGCCAACCAACCGAAAGGATAACACGATAACCTGCTATCATGTTTGTTGTAATCCATGTAGTTATTGTGTCATACTAATACCAATCTGACATAACAAATTTTGGTTACTTGTCAAAATGAAAAGGCAAATGAATATCAGGATAAATTCATATATATATATATATATATATATTTTTTTTCTTAGTACATATCCTAATATCTTATTCACCATCTTGCATCATTATAAAGTTTTAATTGCTATGTTCTACAAATTATGGAAAATGCCGTTGTTTAACTTTAACAGTCTTCTGCTATAACTCCATTCGACGCGATTCAAAAAGTACAAAAACCATTCCAATACAACTAGATTTATAGAATGTTAGTGGGATGATTCAAATTTTTTGATTTATAATTATGTTTTATATAATAAAAGAACGTTTTTAACAATGGATTGGTTTTGTGTGGAAAGATTTTTTAGACAGGCATGCCTTGATTCACACCATATATTAAAAAAGAGAATTTGAAAATTTGAAAAGATGGTATACATGTCAAGCATCTAACTTGCTTATATATATATATATAGACACACACACAATAGTGCTGTATGAAACACGAATTTTGTTTAGATTAGATTGCATGTTATATTTAACTAATTGAACTCATTCATGTTATTCTTTCAAGTATGCATTTAAAAAGTGAAATTAAGTATAAGCATAGAGAACAACGGAGGGCACAGCACAATTCTAGATAAATTAGGTTTTTTCATCTTAAAACATTAAATATTTTTATTAGATTTAAACTTTTTCCCCCACAAAAAATTAAAATATTTTTGTTATATACCTTAGTTTTAAATATGTTAAACTTCATCTGGAAAAATTTTCTCAATCTATCTAGGAGTATGATATACCTAAATTAAAACAAAAAAATTTAAGTTTTCTAAAATTCTTCACATATATTTTCAAGGCTTAACAACAAACAAAAAGCTATATTTTGCATTTTTTTTTAATAATATCGTCTCAACAAATTTTATGATTGCCTATCGCCCAATAACTTATTAAAAAATTTTTTGGAACTTATATAACATAATACAATGTAGTGATCAAATAATTAATCTTATACCTGAACTTTACATAAGATTCTTTCAAATTTCCCTTGTATTATGACCCAATATTTAACTCTATATTCATATAATGCAAATAGAAAAAAATAATAAACCTTTAAGAGGAAAACCAAAAAATTAAATTTAAAAGTGTGATTTTTTTCTTCCTTTTTGTTGACAAATCTAAGATTAGTTTCATAGATAATAAGTCCACTCTTGAATTAGAAATAGGCCTTGACTACTAATTGATGAATGGTAACCTATGTCTTTGAATTCATCTATATCTATAAGTCACATTCCATAGTTTTAAACATATTTAATTAATCACCATCAATTAATGATTGGTGTTTAAATGTAATTATGACTAGGCATTGCCACACAATGTTAATTTGCAAGTTTCCCATCACCTATGAAGCAAGTGGATATACTTGGTCAAAAGACATTACTAACTTCAATCCATATTTTGGTGTGGTTTTGTTGCATAGTGATTGCCATTATGTTTTTGCCACTCCATTTGTTAGTTTAAAAACATTAGTGCCCCTATCTAAACAAAACAATTCGAGACATAGGGATGCTATCTACTTCCAAGGAAGAAAGTCCAATAGTATTTGCATAGAAATGAAAAGAAGAAAAGAAAAAAAAAGAGAGAAAGAATTTGAAAAATAACCTCCTATTAAAAAATGATTAATTCATGACAAGGGTTCATACACTTTGTATATTACAAAAAAAAAAAAAAATACACGTATTATAAGCAACCATGGATGAATTATAATCTTTAAGATTCTCATATTCCAATAACGGATGGTATTAGCCAAAATTGGATAATAATCTTCCTAATTGATGTACTTGTTTTGACAATGAAGTAAAAAGAATATTACAGCCAACCCTCTAAGCTTTTGAGACGTGTTTTTTTTTTTTTTTTTTTTAAACTTGAATTTGTTAAAGTGTGAGATTACACAATCTCTTCAAAACAACAAAATTTGCTAAAAAAATAATAAAAAAAGGAATGAGTAATGTGTTAATTGTTATTGAAATGAGAAGAATTCAACACGAAAGTCACAATAAGCCGTAGTTCAATTGGTTGCAAAGGCGCTTGAAAAATCAGAAAAAATACAAAAGGTCAAAATGTTAAGTTTGACACAAGCGAGGGTCTAAACTAAAATAAAAATAATGGTGAGGACTGCATTAAAAAAACATGCCAAGTGCTACTGACTTTACCCATTAAACCTTTCAAACTTTGCATTCCGAATATCATTTATTCCTTTTGTCTCATTTATTCACACTCTGTCTCTCTCCAACTTCTTTTTCATTTATTTTTTTTTTGGAGTGTTTTATGATACCTTGCTATCTTTATATATTGGGATCCTGGAAAAAAAAATTTTTTGAAGATCGGATCCAGCGTTTTTGCACTACAACCCTAACCACCACAACCTCCACTCTCTCCGACGAGCCCAGGTCCCATTCATTTCTTCTTTTGCATTCCCAACCGACTTCTTCTGCATTCTTCCTGAGCGAACGACGTCACTTCTTTCATCATTTCTTCTCGCTCTGTTGGGCTTCGAACGTGTTGAATAGTTTCTACGTGGTCAGATGGTATGAGCTGCAAGGGGAGAGAAAGGGTTGAAGATATTGATCTGGAGAAATTTTTATTTTCTTGAGATAAAAATTGCAGGTGAGTTTTACTTTATTTTATTTTTTTGGGGAATCTGTGGGTTTTGTCTGGCTACGGTGAGTTGGGAGCGGGGAGGTTTGGTTAGATAAGGAAAGATCTTGACGTTTGGATTCTTTGCTAAGGAAAGTTTACGCTTGATTATTTATTGATTCATTTGTTTTGTTAGTGTCATGATTGATAGACCATTGAGTTTCTTGCATTCCAAGTTGATGGAGAAAGTTTGTCCAGAGGGAATGGATGAAACGGAATGAAACTGTTCCTTCTTTTAGAAGAGTCAAGATAATCAAGAATTTTCTTTCGGGTGTTAATCCAATTCGGTTCTTTAACTTTCATATCAATTGGGTCTTTTCCATTTTCTTCCCTTCTCCAAAAACCCGTAAGGTTTTTCTTTTATCTTTATCTGATGATTATGTCCATCTGTTTTATTGGGGTTAATACGAAAAAAGAGGTCATTCTGTGTTCCGAAATGTGATGTGCAGTATTGGTTAAAAAGAAAAATCAAAGTAAAAGCCAAATATATACGTCCTCTTTTTTTTTTTTAAATAATAATAATAAATTGTATTTGTATGCATTCGATGGGCTTTTATTTAATTCGAGTTCGGGTGATGATCATCACAATCTCATGCCCAAAACCTTGTTTCTTCCAGTCCCATCGTAAAGTAAAGCAGATTGTTTTCTGGCATTTTGTTCAAGGGTTCTGATATAGGTTTTCCAAATTAGTAATGCTTATTATTCAGCTTCTGGGTTTGAACTTGAACCCAATTCAAATTATTTTTCTTAAAGAAAAGATTGCATTTTTGTGTCTAGTAGGGAAAAAAGGGGATTTAGTTGATACGAAAGAGCAAAGGAACCATGGTCCAGCAAAAATTTCCATTTGTCAACTTTTGCTCCAATGTTTTCACTCCTACCTTAAAATTTCACCGCAACTGGAAAGCCATTGTGGGTAATTGAATGTACTTTTACGATACTAAAAACAAAGTCATATAAACTGTGGTACAATAGTTTTCCCTTCTGACTTTTTCCTTGTGAATTTACTGCCTTGATTTTATGAAAAGAGAAAGAAATCTGTATTTTAGAATCATTATTTTGACTTCTGTGCTTAGATTTGCTAGCCCTTTTAATTTCCAGTTGTTTCTATGTAATAGGTAATCGAAACTTTGCTGATTCCTATATATTCTTTTCATAAAATATTTCTGCAGTCTGTACAAGTGTGTGCAAATATGGTTAGTTAAAAATCCATTGTCATTTGAGTCAATAACAACAACACACACTCTCGCTTTGTTTACATCTACAGTTGTATAAATGTTAGTTTTTTTCCAGAATTTATCCAAAGAAGTCATTCATTTAGCTAGCTTTGTCATAGATGACTCAGAAAAGTCATTGATGTAGTGGAATTAATGTTCAGTGATAATAACACTTTGCTGTTGAGGAAGAAGAGGAAGAACATGTCCTCATCAAATTCTCCGTGCGCAGCATGCAAATGCCTCCGGCGGAAATGCACTCAAGAGTGTGTATTTGCACCGTATTTTCCGCCAGACCAACCCCAGAAATTTATCAATGTCCACAGGGTCTTTGGAGCAAGCAATGTTGCCAAGCTTCTCAATGAACTTGGCACTGGTCAGCGAGAAGACGCAGTTAATTCGCTTGCCTATGAGGCTGAGTACAGACTCCGAGATCCCGTCTATGGCTGTGTAGGCCTAATCTCCATCCTCCAACAGAAGCTGAAGCAAGTCCAACATGATTTAAACAATGCAAAGAAGGAGTTAGCTACCTATATCGGGCCCTCCGCCATGTTGCCAATTTTTCAGCACCCGGGTTTCATGCAACAGCATCCTAATAACCCCTCGGCATCTACAGTGATGCCTTATGCTATGCAGCCGATGATGGGGTTGCCAACAGGTGTGGCGGCTCCGCATGGTGGTCCATTGATTATCCGCGATGCTCAGCAGCAGCAGCAAATGTACGAGGCACAGCAATATGCAGCTGCAGTTGCAGCCAGGGATCAGGAGATGTTTAGAGCATACGAGCAGCAGCAACAGCAGCAGCCACCACCGCAGGAGCTTATGAGGTTTAACAGTGGTTTTGAAGGGGCTGGACCGGCAGCTGCTACGGCCTTCAATACCATGAGTTGTGGTGCTGCAATGTCCCCATCCTTGGCTTTGGGCTCATATGAAGCCGTCCCTTATCATCAGATTTCTCAACAGCAGCAGCAGCTGCCTCCGGAGCATTCCCATTCCCACCATCACCACCATAATCAGTTTCAGCTTGAGTCTCAACTGATGCTTCAACAGCAGCAGCCGCAACAGCTGCCACTGCAGTCTCATCACCAGCCTCAAGCTGCCCAGCAGCAACATCCACAGAGAGCCAAGAGTGAGGAGGGCAGGAGCGTTGGTCCTTCCTGTTGATATGCTTGTTCCCAAAAGTCTCAAAATGCTTCCTAATTCTAGCTTAGTTCTTGCACCAAATTTTCTTCCTGGTAGGTAACTACCTTCTCCTACTTTCCTAGATTGCTAGCACCTCTTTGTTGCGCTCTTATCTAATCATGCGATGCTTTAGGAATTAGGCTGTCTGCTGCTTGCACTTACATAACTAACAAGAGTTTCTTGAAACGAAAGAAGAATTTAGTGACTGTGCAGTAGGGATTCGTTTGGAGAATTATTGGCGTTTTCATAGCCATGATTAGAAGTCACATTCATTAGTAACATCCCTTGCCTTGCCTGTTATTTACTGTCTGTTGTCGTTTATGTTTTTCTCATTTTCTCCTTTGGCTGATATCTAATTTTGGAGTCACCCCCAAGACTTTAAATCAGTGGTAAAATCAACTTCTCCCATGACTTGCCAAAGTTTTTTTTTTTTTTTTGGTTAAACTTACACAAAAATAAATATATGTATACTTTTTCTTTTTTGAAGAAAGTATCATCATCGTTTTCTCTAATTGATCTGAATGAACGTACATTAATGGAACCGCAAAAGTTGATTGGATGCTTAATTAGATCTCCATGACTTTTAAATCTTTCAATTTTTTTTTTTGATTAATTAATTTTTTGTTTGTGTTGACCATATGTAATGATCATCAGCAGCACTCTATAGGGAATTTGCGTGAAAGAACTTCTTACACTAACGTGCAAAATTGAAACGGTTGTGTGATCAGCAGCTTGCAGCACTCTAACGTTGAATATCAACAAACAAACAAAAAAATAAAAGTGAACTTCTTCTTTCTTCCACTATAAGCAGCTTCTACCTAACTCATAGTAATACTTCTTCGTCTTCCCCAGTCCCAAGATCGATCTCTTAAGAGTACGCTACAAAACATGTTAAATATTCGCCAAATAAGTAAATAAATAAAAAAAAATGAGATGCGTTCCCTTTTTCAAAGCAAGCAATTTATTATTTGCCCCTTGCTTTCCTGAAGCTAGTGTTCCCTTTTATTATTTGATTGTCAATTTCTTGTCAATTTATTATAACTTTTTTTTTTTTTTTTACAGGTCATTTTTGCTGTAAACAATCGCACAAAGGAGAGAGAGAGAGAGAGAGTGCATGCGTGTGGAGAGTGGAAGAGAATCACATAAGAGCGAAAGATTGTCGTAACTAACTTCTTCATTTTTTTTTTTTTTTTGGTTTGGTTTGGTTGTTGCTGTGCTTCCTGTAAAATTTCACTTTTTGGGAAGCTTCGAGAAGATATTATTGGAGGCACATATTAAAAAAATGTAGTAGGAGTTTCTTTCTTGTGAATTTTACAGAGAGTAAGTAGAGTAGTATCCTCTTTTTGCCTGCCAGTCAGAGGTGAAGTTTTTCGTTTTTGGGAACCGTATAGAGAATAAATGAAAAGCTTCTTTGCCTGTAGCGTAGCTGGTCTGAGATCAATAATTACTTCATTTTTTTTTTTTTGAGGCAATTTTTTGTTCATCCCGAGAAGGTTGTCGAGACGGGACTGGTCTTCTTCATGTGATGGAAATGGAGTCTGCGACGCAACCATTTTCTATTTTCCTCTTTTCTTGTTGCCCAAAGGTACCGGTGGCTTTGTTTGTTGAAGCATCTGTTTGTTTACGAGTTTCTGCGACGAACATCATCATCATCTACCGACGCTCAAATGCACGTGAACTCGTCTTCTCTAAGAAACCGGTAGTGATTAAAGTTTCGATGTCACGCTCTCATTGGTGATGGTCTGACAGACGAAGTAATCCTCCCTCGAAGTTTTGAGTTGACTTCCCCGTCTCTCCACCACCCACCCCCAGAAAAAAACAGCGTCCTGCGTCTAAACAGGAGGCCCAAACAAGGCTTTTAATCAAAACCTGTTACCTGAGTCAGAATTTCCTTTTTTTTTTTTCTTTTATTAAAAATGTACGTATTATTCTGATCAGCATATATATATATATATATATATATATATACACACACACACACACTAGCGTTGACTTGGGTACTTAAAAAATTGATGGTATTGGGATGCGGAGGAGTAATGAACGAGGCAATTGGTGAAAGACGAGTAATCTATTTCTAAAACTCGGGTGTAGCAAGCAAAGTGCCGAAAGCTGTTTCTTGAGTGCGCTTTTTAAGTTTAAACTCTTTGCTACATTAAGTTAAGATAATACTGTATAATGCATCATCTCTCAATTTCCGCGGCAAAACGCACTCTACTGCCGTCTACCGCTGTTGTATGAATCCCTTTCCTCCGATTATTCTCCTGGATAGAGTATTATTTGAAATAATTACTGTAACATTTTTTGTGATATGATGTATGTGAGATAAAAAGATAATTAAAAATATTAAAAAATAGGTTGAGAAATGTATTTATAATGCAAGCGAAATATTATTTGAGATATTTTTACTAATAATAATAATATTATTATTATTATGCTATGCATCATGGAAGACAATTTCACAATAATAACATCTCTTTCTTCTGTCTAATCTAATTTTCCCGGTGGAAGTTTTCCACATTCTCTTTTTTTCTTTTTCTTTTTCTTTTCTCTTCTTTAAATGAATAACAATAAGGTTAATCATTTTGAAATTTGAGATTCTGGTAGGTGGGTCTTGGATTGGATTCTTGTCCTAATTTGATAGGTGGGTGGTGGATTGGATTCTTGCCCCAATTTCCTGCTGCCCAAATCAAAGTATCTGGTAATAGATCGCATTCCGTCGCAATCATTTTTTTCCTCTGTTTTGTTTGAATTACACCAGAGAATTAACTCAAAGATCGTACCACTACTGATACATCATTTTCTGAGCACCCAGATGTTTCTTGCCACTTAGGATGCGACACCAAGGAAACGCATGAAACGACGACAAAAATGTAAAAAAAAAAAAAAAACACACATTTAGTAATATTTTCAAAGACCTAAATGATCTTAGCGCTGTTCATTTCGATGAGGTATATATAGAGGAATACGTTGCTCTTGTTTTTTTTTTTCCCTCCGGGTAAATTGTTTAACTCCTCGTTCTTTTCAAAGAAAAGAATTACTGCTAGTATTTCGGTTATGGTTGGTTGACATTCACTCAATCAAAAAAAAAAACTGTGTCCATACCACATACTACTTCTTTTTTTTTTTTCGACAACAGGTATTTAATAGGGGAAAAGCTAAACTACACTCAAGGTACGTGAAAAAGAGTCTCACTCAATCCAGGCAATTGTTGACTAGAGGAAAGCTCTGAAAACCTTAAGTCTTGCTACTCACCCATACTGGGTTTCAATGTGGGACAACTCCTAAGGGAGCACCCATCCTATTTTTAAAGAGCACACTCTCACAATGTCTTGCAAAAGTTTTTATTTTTTTCGACAATAGATATTTAACAGGAAAAAAGCTAAACTACGTGCAGGACCCCGTGCTACTTGATTGATTGGACCACGAGCATTACCGAGTCGAAGAAAATAGCCACCTTTCAAACGTCCGCTCGGACAGGATGGTTATGGTTGCAAATGCTTCTTCCCTGTACGAAACCACCATAACTTTATATTGTCCACAGAAACAGAATAATGTGCTCGTCCATCCATAATAATAATAATAATATCAATCCCCCAGTTGCCACGTGATAATCTTACTTACCTCCATTTTAATCCGATTCACTCCCCATATTTTTACTATTTTTGAAAATTTTTTCTTTTTGCAACTTAAAACACTAGTGTGAATACCCGTGCTACGCACGGTGCTTACATTATTAAAAAAAATTACAATCTATGGAAGAATTTAAAAATAGTAAAATATTATTTTACTATAAAATAATATTATAAAATATTATTTTTTAATTAATGAATGGTAATATGTGTATTTAATAGTAAGATTTGAGAAAATCTATCCTTAATTTGGTAATGTTTCTGATAGTAGTTGATAATATTTTATGTTTGAGACATTATTTAGTGGGTGAACTCGATGTGAAATGTGAAGCATAATTTCGACCATATGAGTTTTGAGTCACTATATTTTTTATGATATGTAATTAAACATTTAGAATAGTAAAATATATTTTTTATTATGTTAATTATTGCCTCAAACAAATTGTCAATTTTGGTAGTAAAAATGACAATATATTTATGTGAACCTTTGATATTAGATAGGATTGTAGTGATCCTATTCATTAGGATTGACCACTGCATATGCAATAATAGCTTTTAGTACTATTTGTTAACATGTAACATATTAACAAAGCCATTGGGGAACTTTCGGTGGCATTTATTAAAGTGCTTATAAACAATTGGTACTATTTCCACATTCTTATAAACAATGAAAACAACAATAATATTATAATATTCGGAATGTTATTAATACTTAGAAGTACAATAATAATCCCAATAATATTCCCAAATTTTAAAGAATACATAAGACCTAAATTTCTAACTTGATTCTTATAAACAATGAAAACAACAATAATAATATAATATTGGGAATATTATTAATAATTGAAATAACAATGGAAACACCAATATTTAAAAAATAAGTACCGTAACTTCTAACTTGATTCTTATAAACAATGGAAACAGCAATAATATTATAATATTGGGAATATTATTAATAATTGCAATTATAATGAAAATGGCAATATATAAAGAATAGATAATACCGGCTTGATTCTTATAAACAATGAAAACAATAATAATATTATAATATTATAAATATTATTAATAATTGTAAGTATAATGAAAATACCAATATTTAAAGAATAAATAGTGGCGAAACTTCTAACTTGATTCTTATAAACAATGGAAACCATCTAATTCTGGATTGTGCCCATGCATAGCACAATCAAGATGTGACATGAATTTTAATTTTTTTTAGAACCTCATTCCTAGGATCCATCGACTACAACACACACACAAGCTGTTGAGACAATTTTGCGACTAAATATATAACTAAGGTTCGAGTATGTTGGGGGATTCATTTTATTTGATGCTTAACAAATATAGGATTTTTTCCAGAGTTCGAAATTTTTTTTAAAAAAATATATATCTATATATATATATATATATGTAAGATTTTATCCGGAGAGAGTTTGGACACGGCATGAGTTGGTGCTTGCCACAGGCCACTTGACGAAAATGAAGGCAAGAAGACAGGAAATGGCACTAACCCAGCGTCGATCACAGCCACGGGCCAAATAGAGACATGCAATCATAATCATACGTAGCCCTGAACTGTACATTGTAGATTACTAATGAAACTTGGACATAGTTGCATGACTGTCAACCGAATTCCCAGCTTTTAAGTTTTCAAGTAATATTGACTCTTTATTACATGGTGAAGCGTCCTTTCTTGCTCCAGGCACAAACGGGGTACTGCCAATTGGTAGTTCTCTTAATCTGCCAATTGGCTCAAGTATACTTTACTGGCTCAATCCTACTCCAGTAATAATATTATAATATAGGAAATTTTATTAATAATCTAAATTGATTCTTATAAACAATGACAACAGTAAGAATATTATAATATGGGGAATATTGTTAGGAAATTTTATTAATAATTTTAATTAAAATGAAATTTCTAAATTTATTCTTATAAACAATGGAAACAGTAATAACATTATAATATGGGGAATATTGTTAATAATGGTAACTACAATGAAAATCATAAATGTTTAAAGAATAAATAGTACCAAAACTTATAAACAATGGGAACAACAATCATATTATAATATTGGAAATATTAGTAATAATTGAAATTATAATTGTATTAAAATACGTATTAAATTAAGTTACAAATTTCTAGCTAATTATTCCTTCAGCCAATGTTGGTATATATTTCGAAGTTAACTATATAACCATATAACCCTGATAGGTAACAGAACAGAACATAACCAACAGTTGATCATCCCTTCAGCCAAAGTTTATATATACGAAAAGAGTTTCCTATCCACTGGACTCGCACAATCAGATCATCATTCACACCATAAGCTAAATAAGATAAACAAACTTTATATACACATCCATTGTGACCATATACTTCCAAATCAGCCATTGAACATTACCTCAAAAGCAAGGATCTTTAAAGTAATTTAAATTAAATTAACATCAGTAGTCAACACGATAATCGAATTATTTTAATTATTTAATTGAAATTATAATATTGGAATAATTGAAATCAGAAGCCAGAAATTGCATTCACAGACGATTATAATAGTGAATGAGCAAACCATACCACAAAAATTGATGTGATTCTGAGTTCATTTTTGGCACTAAAACAGAATCTTCGTGATTCCCACCACCTACTTTCTAGTCTCCTAAAAGTCTCACCCCCTGGTACACTGCACCAAGACGGAGGTCATCTATATTGCTAAAGCATCTATAGCCATCGATCTTAGGTGCCATTGTCCATAAGATTCTTAGGTGCCATTGTCCCATATGTTTTTGCAAGATTTATTTTTTGAATCTATTCCCCCTTTTTTTTTTTGCTATTTCTCTCAAGCGTCAACATTTTTGTCTTGCACAATTCCAACTTTTTCACCGCAAAATTACAGCATAATCCCGATTTGAACAGCCCAAGGACATGTAATGCAGTAAGACACAAAATCTGCCAAAAAAAAAACCCAAAACACAAAAAACGAACCTACCCGCT